AAATGTATCCTTAACATCATCTGGGACGGTATGACTGTTTCCATTTGCTGATTTTTATGATTGACTCCTTGTTTTAATAACTAATTCCAGTAGAATTACACTTATATTAATAAACACAACTTTTGTCTTCTTTTGCTGTCAGTTCAGTGAATCTGGGTGGTAGGACAATGAGGCTTCCTGTTTGTGCTCCTGCTGGTTTGCCATTTGGACTGCATTTGGTGGTTAAAGAAATTAATTTGACCATTTTTTGTTTTCACAGGCACCCGTCCCCGTACAATGGGGCGCCAAGCTCCACATTAGAGTTAAAGGAAGTCATCATTTACAACAAGCACAGTAAAATGAAGGAGTACATACCCATGAGGTAGAGATTTTCCGGAGTGGTGACGGAGAGGTTGACCACGCTGCAGACGTCAGCATCGCCCACTCCGTCCCAACAGGTGGAGTCATTAGCACAGGTGCTGCTGCTGGACGAGTTCACGCTCTCTACCTGCACAGACAACAGAAGGCTTTTGGGTAGCGGAGCTAACAGCAGAATAAGCACATTTCATATCGAGAAACCATGTTGCTATTGCAGAACTGGCTTTTGCATTTCATGCCTTCCTACGGTGGCGCTGTTCTCCTGACGGAGACAGAGTTAGCCACAGGGCATCGTGGGGCAGTGCTGCCGCGGCGTGAAGCCACAGAGCAAAACAAACACGTCCATGTGGATCTATGAACAGTTCGCCTGGGCTAATTCTGCTCAAACCAAGGCGGAGAAGAAAAAGAGGAAATTCCTACCGAGGCCAGGCTCAGCAGAGACCCAGACAGCTTTTTGTAATCTCTGGTGGTAAGAACCAGACCAGAGCCGGAGGTGCATCCATTCTTGGAGTTGAGGGAGATGCTGATGTTTTGGCTGGTGTTGTCTGAGAAGATGAAGTTCAAAAGAACAATCAATCAAAACACTCCAGAAGTTGTAAATTTCAGCAGAATTATAAAAACAGGCTAAAGGAACAAAAGTCATTTTGTGTCTCGGTAAATAAATGATTTGTTACTGAGTGTGGCATCCGCACTGTAAAACCATAACAAACCTGTCATTTGGTGCTTCTTGGACCAAACCAAACACAATCACACCATGCAGTAGTCATTTTCCATTTAGTAATTAAATGTTTAGTGTTTACTTTCATTTGAATGACTCCTCACTGAATCTGAAGTAACCGTCTAACAAACCGGTTTTCATATTTGTGCACGTTCGCTTTCTTCTTACAGGTCAGACTGGTTTGATCACCGGTATTGAGCCTCTTTAGTTTGTTGTGTGTTCGGTCAGTTACTCTGTTAAGTGGCTTTTGGGAATTTTGAGTTTTTTTTTTTGTTTATTGTTGTATTTCGGGGTATAACGACACATTTTCCCCCCAAAGAAAATGACCACAGATCTCAGCCCCTCACACAGAACTCAGCGTCTTCATTTGGAGTCGACAGTGACACAGAAGCCATCTCGCTGACAGCGTGACAAATAACGATTGAGTTCAGTAGTCTTACCATTTTCTGCAGAGGCCGGTGGGAAAAACTCAAAGCCAGCCTGCTCCCACTGAGGCGAGAGAGCCTTCTTCCTGCCCTTTCTCCTCTGGAAGCGGCGAGCGAGGAGGAGGAGCGAGAAGGTGCCGAAGGCGGTGGCGGCCACCAGTTTCTTGGTGCCTGTGCTGACACTCACCTTCAGGAGAGAAAAAGAGGATAGTTAATTATTTTTTTCCGAAATTGGAACAAACTAAAGCTCGTTTAAACTGCTCATTTTGACAGGCTTAGTTTATATTTCCTCAAAAAACTATTTAAATGATGCAATCCCTTTAAAGTTCAAAGGATCAACAACAGTCCTGCACAATCCTGAATGTATTCAGTGTCACATTTGCTCAGATTTGTAATGCAAATCAGCATATCCTCTGGCTCTAATGCCTCCTTCAAAGCACAGAGACCTGCCCCTTTTTTCTCTAAATAGCCGAGCGCATACTAACTAACAGCTGAGTTCTGCACAAACAGCCACTAATTCAAACAACAGTGACAATAAAACCAAGCAAGCTGGAAAACTGTGGCAGACAAACCCTGAACAGCCGGGACTGAGAACCAGCTCCCGGCCTGTCATATATACTTGTAGAGGCATGGATGCGTTTTGCTCTGGACACAAGAGGGAGTGAG